ACTGGTGCACTTCTCTCATGATGCTTTCCACAACCCTCCCACCTCAGCCTGCCTTCCTGAGGTAAGGTAATTCTTCCACAAGTGCTTAGTGAGCTGCTCAGCTCCTGGAGAGCAGGAGCACAGTCCTTGCTCAGGAGGAGTGGCAGACACTGCTCCAGAGCTGCATGTGCTAACAACTGCAGTGTCAGAGCAGGTGGGTGACCTGAGCACCCTGTGGGTGCTGCTCTGGGACAGTCACCTGGCCCAGGCTGGCTCTGTACAGCCCTGATGAGGATTTATGATGTGCCTTTTGCCTTCAGACAGCAATAGAACAGCTGTAGTCACAGCTGGACTGCTGCCAGGGCCCTTCCTGAGGAGACTTTAATATTTCTCTCTAAAGCTGTTGCTTCCTCTTCTTCCTCACCAATGTTCCCCCATCCCCCTTGGCTGTGCCCAGCTTGAGCAGCATCCAGAATTGTAGAATAAGAGTTATTTGGCAAGACTGTTCCTGTTTCATTTCCTCTTACTCTGTAAGATGTTTTCTACTGTAGATACTGTAAGAGATTTTAAATATGCAAAACCAGTTGCTGTAGTAATTGGTTCTGGTCCTGGAATTTTGCTGTGCTTGGGATGCAGAGATGTTCCTGGCACTTGCAGGCCAGAAGCAGTTGATTTGTTGATACACATTGTATCTGTGTGTGTTGTTGTTTTCTAAATACAATACGCCCTTCTGTGGTTAAACCAAGGTCGTTGAGTGGCAAATTAGGAAGTGGAGAGTGGAATGCAGCTGGTCCTGGAACCCTCCTGGGAACAGTGTTGTCTATTCCTGCTCTTCCCTCTTATGTCCGAGGAGTGACCTGCCCAGACTGGCACCATGTGCCACGAGACCACAGGGACACAGAAACCTGTATACCTGGTTAATAATGATACATTACAAATTAGTAATGTTTCATGTTAGTAAGCAAAATGCTTCTTAATTTTAAGTAACCTGATACTTTGCATATTTGTAAATTACAGGAAAAATGGTTTTTAATGTTATTGTCCAGCACTTTGCTGCTTGCAGTTTTAATCAGTGCTGTTCCTGCCTCAGCCGTGTGTTACTCGGTGAGGTGGGTTTGCATTTCTGGTGGAATGCTGGTATCTGCTGCTTCTCTTGCAATCAGAAGATTAACATTTTGTACTCCCCAGCTGACACTTGCTGAATTTTCTGTATCACTATGCAGTATAGTCATGTACTGAGTGGCCATGTGACAGCCATGGCAAAGGAAGAACTGTGTTACATAAATAAAACATGCTGAGTTGACATAGTTGGTCTCTGGTGGCTTTTTGGAGGAACATTCAACATTTTGGCTGGCATTCCATGAAAAGTCAGAAACCATCCTTCCTCCCCTGGGTTCCTCTGACAGGCTTCGCTGAGGGCTTGTTATTGACAGGCTGTTAATTGATACAGTGAGACCAAAACATCCAGCTGCTGTGGCAGATAAGAGCATGTGCAGTGTTTGCTGTTTATTTGGCAGCACTGGGGTTTCTCAGTGCCTGGGGCAGGCACTGGCAGGGGAAGGTGGAACGAGAGAAGTTGTGGGTGTCTCGGGTGCTAAAGCACAGAACACTGATGGGAATTTTGAAATCAGCACGAGCTGTGTTCAGTTTTAAGGGGCAATTCCCTAGTATGGTCTGGAAACAACTGCATATTTTATTCAGTTATGGCACACCCATATCAGCTGTTGAGTGTGGAATATGCGAAGTGTCCAGACTCTGGACAGGCTCTGAAGGTTTGTTATGGACTGGAAGTGCAGCAGGAATATCAGTGCTCACATTGCTGTGTAGGGATCTTCCCCTCCCACCTGCTCCAGTGCAGCACAGCACATTCTTATCTCACCAGTTAAATAACTTTATGGTCTGTATTCAAACTTGGGCTCTGCTTTTACCACAGGACAATGACTCTGTAGTTAATCAGAAACGAGGAAGGCAAGTGCTCCCAGAGACAGCTGCGTTTCAAAACAAACCTGGAACTTCAGAGTCTGAAAGGACTTTTATTGGCTGTGGCCGAGGAACTCTCTGGGGCTGTCACTGCAGTGACAGAGCTCACGTGGCTCTGTGCATGTGTGGGGTGATGGAGTGGTGTGTTACAGATCTGAGCACACCTTTAACCAGGTGTGGAGTCTGCTGCTGTCCTTGGTGGGGTCTGTAGCTGAAAAATGCTGCAGGGTGTTAAGGCTGCTTTTCCTGTAAAAGACCTTTAATAGGTAATTCTAGTTTTGCAGGATGTGCAGAGGCAGGAGGATGTTTATTTTTGCTTCCCTCGAAGCTGGTCTGACACAATTCAAGGAATCAGTGCAGAGGTTCATAACTGGAGCAGTTTGGGAGGGTCAGGCCCTAGCACAGATCTGGTCAAAGCTATTCCCACAAGCTGCTGCATTTGCTGCCGGGGCAACTGGCCCACCCAGCTGCCATCCCACTGCTGGCCTTGGAATTCTCTCCTTCCCTCACACAAGGTTCTGTGGGAGCAAAGCTGCTCCCAGAGCATCCCTTGTATTCTGGGTAAGCATTGCCTCCCCAGGGGCTGCTCACCAGCAGCTTGGGAAATGGGAATGCTAATTGGAACTGCTGCTGCTGCTGCTGCACATTTTCCCCACTTGCACAGTCTGCAGAGTTGTTGCAGTTGCCCCCCTGCACACACAGGCAGCCTCGCTGGGCTGTCAGTGCAGGATTTGGGGGTGTGTGAAAAAAAAACAACATCACAGGGTGCATCCTGTGCTCAGGACTCCCTGAGTGGGGAGAGGCTGCCATGACTGCTGAGCTTTTGCTTTGTGTCCTGGGCCAGCCAAAATGGGTCAGAGAGGCTTGTCAGCTCACGGGGCTGCTGGGGAGAAGGAGGTCACACATGGGCCTACTGAAGGTTTCCTGTGCTCAGGGGGTTCCCAGCCCTCATCCTGCGTGCTGTTGAGCTCGGGGGAAGGCCAGCTCCTCTGAGCAGCCCAGCCCCCTCCCTGGGGCTCAGTCGCCTCTCCCTGGCACCATGGCCCTGTGCTGAACTTCCATCCGAACCCAGCTGGTTCCTCCCAGCAGGGGATTTCTAGGATGTGGCTATCTCAGTTCTATCTTTTTAAGGATTCCAGAGGCAGGAGTCTGACCCAGGTTCCTGTGCAGGCCATGGGACAGGGGCTGGTGTGTAACGAGAGCACACATGTGGGAGCCCTCATGGGGGGTTTGGTGGTGTCACCCACCTGGGGCTCCCGTACACGGGAGCAGGTTCAGCATCAACCCGCTGTGTTTCCGCAATGCTGAGGCTGCTGCTCTTCCACCAGAGAGGAAGAGGTGTCTCAAACATAGCAGCAACTCTGCACTCTGTACCCCAAACCTCTTTTGCAACACAGCCTTGCTGTAAGACAGAACTGCAGGAAGCGAGTAACTGCAAAATAAATGTTGCACCCAAGAGAACAGAAAGGTGCTGGGGAGGAGCTGGGTGCTGTCCTAGGGTGGTGGGAGGGGAGGCTGGTGCTGGAATGGGTTGATGATGGCAGCGCTACATGTGTGGTGCTGTCAGTACTCGCCCTCCAACCACGTGTTTTTTCAGTCCTGTCATCTGCTTTGCTCAGGGATTAGGCCCTGAGGATTATATGCCTTGTACCCCCACGCTCCCCAAGGCCAGGGGCTGCCCCTGGGAGCCAAAGCCCTGCTGGCAGAGCAGCTGCCAGCTCAGCCCTTCTGAGGAAGCCACGGGCTGGGAGCAGGGAACAATATTGCACAAATGTGTTGGAGTAAACACAGCCTCGGGTTGAGCAATAGGTCAGGAGGATTTGCATGGTGTGGTGGCCTGGGAAAGGTTTCTGTGGCCTGGGAAATGTTCTGAGGCCTGTGAGGCGGCTCTTCCCTCTCTTGGGGCAGGGTGGTAAGGGGCAGGGAGAGCTGGTGGCTGCAGCTGATGCTGCTTGATGTCACCCTCTACCTCCTGGGCCCTATCCCTGTCCCTGTGGGGCTGGCCAGGGATTTCCAGCCCGAGGATTGCCACAGGAGAAGTGAACAGTGGCTGCAGCGGGGACGGGACCTCATCGCGATGCTGCAGAGCTGCTGTGGGCCGTGGCCAGTGCTCCCACTGTCTCGTTGTGTGGATGAGAGGGGTGTTTGAGGCTGCAGTGGTGTCCCCAGAGCAGTTCATTTGCAGGGCCTGGTTTATTTTGGTATTTCTGAGCAGCGTGGGGCTGTCCCCCCTCAGCCGCGCAGGCCGGGAGGGTGTGGGTGAGTCAGGCTGCTGCTATTCCTGTTGCAGCAGTTCCCCGCCCGTGGGAGCTGCTCGGACACGTCGGAGGACAGATCCCTGCCGATCCCTGCCTGCTGCAGGGAGAGCTCCTGGGGAGCCTGTCCCCAGCCCTTGGCACAGGTGAGTGCTGGTCCCTGCTCTGCTGCAGGGAGAGCTCACCCTGTCCCCCCTCCCCAAAGAGCTGGGACCCAGGCTGCAGCTCTGCCAGGGAAAGACCAGGTGGACACAACTGATGGGAAGCAGCCATCTGTATTGAACAGGGGCAGCCCTGGGGACCCCGGGCTGGGGGGCAGGAACAGCCCCTCTGTGCTAGGCCTGGGCACGGGGAGGCCCCTCGGCCCTGCTCCGAACAGTGCCAGTGCTCCCAGGGCTCATCATCTGGGGGATGAGGGGCCCTCGCCCCCCCAGGGGAGCTGCTTCCCCCCGACCGCTGTCCAAAGAGCTGGCCCAGCGTTGTAACACATGCAGAGCTGCTGACACAGGCCGGGTCTGGCCAACGAGGAAGTCAGTGGGTGAGTTTTGCAATCCATCGCCCCAGTGGCTCCAGCTTGTGCAAGGTGTCTGGGGCCACTGGTGAGCAGACTCCTTGTTCCTGGAGCCTCCCAACAAGTTGCAGTAGATCAGGAGGATGCTCTTCGGTGGGCTCCACCAGAGCCAACCCCACCAGGGCACAGTCAGCCCTTGGGAGGGCCCTGGGCAGGGAGGTGGCTGTGACTTCTCCTGGGCCCAGGGCCAGCAGCTCACCCTGACCAGGCTGCTCCCAAGGAATGGCTGCAGTTCTGCTGGATGGGGCCAGGCGTGGCTGGCACCGACAGATGAGGCACATACAGGGACGCAGCTGGGACTCCACCATTCTGGCCTGTCCTGAGCGGCCTGGGCAGGGAGGGACATGTGGCTCCTTCCTCGCTGCTGCCCTGCTCACACCTTCACTTACGTTTTCTGCCATCAGGCTGGATGGTGCCGCGTGGTGGCCACAGGGGCTCTGCCCACTGGTGTCCTGGGACAGAGTAGAGGGGGGAGAGGGGATGTGATAGCCAGAGCTCTGCCGAGTGTGGGAGTACCCAGTCAGGCTCCTGGTGGGATGTCGTTCAGACAATTGGAAGCTTTTCCTGGCTCACTCCTCCCACATACCTCCCAGGGCACCCCAGTGCCACCCAGTGCCCAGGTGGGGAACTAGTGGGCTCCCCATGCTCCCCACATTGCCCCATTCCCAGCTCTGGTGGCAGGTCCCCCCTCCCCGTGCCCCCTCCAGCCCCCAGCTGCTACCTTCTGGGCTCTCTCCCTCGCTCCCACTGGCAGTTGGATCCTCCACTTCCCCCAGCAGCTCGGGGCTGTCGCTGCTGTTCCATTGCCACGGCACCTCCTGCACCTGGGACAGGGTGTGACGGTCTGGGGGACCAGGGGGGACTGGGGGGGCTGGGACCCCGTGGGGCACTCACCCGCTGGCGAAGGCTCTGTTGTTCCCGCAGCACCTCCAGGAAGCGGCTGCTCCACAGCAGCTTCTCTGCCCCCAGCTCCGTGCAGAGGAAGCGGACGTCGGCCTCCAGCCCCTGCAGCCTCTCCAGCATGGCCTCACTGGCATCACTGTGCTCCTGCCACTGCACCACTGCCCGGCCCCACAGCTCAGCTGCCGCCAGCACCCCCTGACCACTGCCAGCCTCAGCCTCTGCCCCAGGGACAGCCCCAGGCTGGGGACTTACCTGGCTGCCCAGGCTCCAGCAGAGAATCGGAGTCTCCGTTCTCCTCCTCCCCCTCCTCCTCCTCCTCACTCCCCTCCAGTCTCAGCTGCAGAGATGTTCCGAGCTGGAAGTCAACACAGACAGTGGGGACTGACACATCCATGGGCAGCCAAGCCTGGATGGCCTCTGGCACTGACCCTGGCAGGGGAACTCCCCTGGTACCACCCAATGAACTGTGTCACTGGGCTCGGCCATGTCCCAAGAGTTGGCAAATGCCACAGTCCCTGTGGTGTGGGGACACATTGGGTGACTTTTACCTCCTCTGTGGCCCGGAAGGCGCTGTCCCAGCAGCTCTTGTAGCAGATCAGCAGCACCTGGGGAAGAAGATGGCTCACATCTGCTCTGGGGAGCGCAGAGCCTGGAGTGATGTCCCCATGTCCCCAGGGCTGTTGGTGGGCAGAACCTACAGTGCCTTGAGCCAAGAGCCAGCCCCCAGAGGACAAGGGCCCCAATCCTGCAGCTGCACCACCGGCTGGCGTGGTGACACCCCCAGCTGCCCCATGTGCACCAAACCACAGTCCCCAGCACCACTCCTACAGAGGTTGCACCCCAGCAGGCCCCGACCCCCCAAACGCGCCACTTCTGGAGATGATTCGGGTGCGTGGGGGTCCCTGGGGAAGGTACCGACCCACATGAGCCTCCAGAGCCACCACAGCCCCCGCAGCACCGTCCCGCAGAGCCACAGGAGCCACCAGCACCCAGCGCGCAGGAGCCGCTCCCACCACGGCCCCGGGGGTCTGCGCTGCCGGCCCATGGGACCCTGAGGGGCAGGGGACAGAGGGGAGGGCCCCGCAGGCCCGGAGCCCACGCCGCGCTCTGTGCACTGAAGGGTTGCGTGGCAGCCGCGGTGCCCCCACACGCCGGTGTCTGCCCCGGCTCGCCACCTGCCAGGACAACGAGAGGAGCCTGAGCTTTGTGGGGCCAGACCCCTCAGGCAGGACACGCGCTCGGCAGGGGCCCCCTCCCCTCTGCCCCCTTACCCAGCCATGCACCTGCGGCCCCTCCTGTCCTGCCCAGGCACAAACCCCGGCAGCCGCTCGGCCCAAATGAACTCCTGCCTAATCCTCTTGGTGACGAGGCTGCGCAGGGATTAGCATTTCCCTGCTCCACCTTTGGGGGCCATAAGGACAGTGGCTGCTCTGCAACCCTTGTTTTTTCTGCTCAGGATCCACCTTTCACAAGCAAAGGACTTCTAACCTCTACTTTTGCCTTTCATGAGCATTTGGGTGAAGCCTGTGCAGCTCCAACTCCTGTGCCCAGGCTTGGCCATCCTGGGGGTCTTTAGTCACTCGGGCTCTTTAGGAAGGAAAACTTCAGGAAAGAAATCTTCAGAAATCAAATGGAAATACTAGGCACAACTGCCAGAGTCAGCAGGCAGCTGCTGAGCAGCAGGACCTGGCAGGGAACAGCTGTGCCTTTAACTGAACCAAGCGTTTGCCATTTTGCTTTCTAATCAATGTGCTCCCCCCAGGCTGCTGCCATCAGACAGGGGCCTCGGCAGAACAGGCTGTCCCCTCCTTCGGTGACAAACACAGCCTGGGGCAGGAATGGCTGCGTTTCCCCCTTGTCCCTGCAGCACCCCGATGTGTCACAGGGAATGTGGAGCTAACTAACCCTGCCACACAACCCGCTGGCACACAGGGCTCTGAGCTACACCAGCCTTTTGCTGCTTCTCCAAAATGTTCTGTCCAAAAAATCTGTCAGCTTTCCTCAAGGTCAGAGGTGCAGCAGAGATTTCAGCCATCCCTGCTCACAGCAGCAATGGGAGGACTGTTTTTCTACCAAGGGCAGGGAATCAAAACCATCAGCTGAGAGTTCTCTTTTCCAAAACTGTGGAGCAGCGAGGCCTCTTTCCTAGATCTTCTGCCCCCCTGTATTTAACCTCTGCAATTCAAAACACACAGAAATAGGCCGGCTTTGCAGCTTGGCCTTTAAGCTGCTCCACCCCAACCCCTCCACCCCCCGCCCTGGAGAAGCAGCTGCAAGCTCCAAGCAGAGAGCCAGGTCCCCGTGGGATAAACCAGTCCCTGAGCAGAGACACACTCCCTGTGGGATAAGCCCCTTCTGAGCAGACACGCTCCCTGTGGGATAAGCCAGCTCCCTCCAGGAACAAACATGGAGCCGTCTTGATCCTGGACCAGACCCAGCTTGAAGGAGAACTCTGCTCCTGTGCCTCCACCTTCACTCAGGTCCTGCTCTGCATGGACTGGGGTGCCTGGAGGGAGCTGAGAATGACCCCAGGGGATCAGAGGTGCAGCAGAACGGATAAACCACTGGCTGTTCCAAGGGCCACCCACGCTCTGAGGGCTCAGTGACACCCCTGTCCTATGGCCCCTTTCCCAAGGCTCTCTCTATCAGCAGGGGTTACACAAACACATACCAGCACCAGTTCCAATGTCAACTCCCCTCCCTGAGCAAAGCAAAGCTCAGTTCAAGAGCAGCACCAAGGTCCTGACCTGGGAGCTGTGTGCAGCATCTGGCCCTCACCCCTCTGTGCTGCTCCAGGGACAACCCCACCAGCTCATCCCTGACCCACGGGCAATCAGCCAGCAGCAACAGAACCCACAGACATCCCCGTACTGCCTTGCACAGCTGGAGATTGGAGCCTGGCACTCCCTGCAGCACTCAGTCACAGCCACCCCAGGAGAGAAGGCACCAAGGGAACCTCCCACGGGACAAGGAACTGCTCCTGTGCCAAAGGGGAAGAACTCCAGCAAAGTCCTCATAAAGCAGGTGGACAGTAAAAAGCACCAGGAGTCAAAGTTTGGACTGCACAAACCACGGGAAGAGACAAACACGGAACTTTTATTGTTTATGTACAAATGACAGAAGTTTGTATTAAAAAGAGAATCCACCCAAAGTCAGTGACAGCAAAGAGCAAATTGGCTCTGAGCTCTGACCCTTCCTGCACCAAAGCACTGTGGAATCTTGGGAGATGGTGTTTAAAATGAAAGAGAAAAGGGTTAAACCACCTTCTCTGCTTGACTACTAATCAAACAAGCTGCTCCACAAAATGAAGAACCTTCCACTACACAGATTAAACAAAGAAACCCAAAGTCAACTTTTAACTATACACTTTGGCTTTAAAAAAACCACAATAAAACCAACAAAAATCCAAAACCAAACCTAAACCTACAAAGTTAAGTATCAGCAACAAAAGTAATCTAAGTCTCACAACATGGATGGACACACTGAATTCTACCCCAGTTCCAGTGGCAAAGGAAATGCCTCTCTGTGGGTCTGCAGGTGGCAGGGGGGCAGCAGCATCAGCCATTTCAGCAAGATCCTGACCAAGGTGGAAGCACAGAACAGTCAGGAATTCAGGACTACTACTACTACCTACACCACCTTAGTCTTCCAGCAACTCAGGTGATTTAAAAATGATGCAAAGTACATGGTCCAGCATTTCCTCCCCCCATCCAAGTCCCTTAGAGTGAGTCACTCCAGCTGCAGTTGCAATCCTGCTTCAGGGCTTCTCAGTGGGGAGTCACAGACCAAAATCCTAGGAGCATCAGCACTCATGGCTCTAGTAGTCCTGCAGAGAAAGGACAGCACAGGCATGTTAACACCTTCCCACCTCTGATTCTGCTCACGGAGCTGGGGGATCTCAGTCCTCTCCCATCTCACACAACATTAGTTGCAGGCAAACCAGATTTTTTTCTTGTGGCTAAACACTGAAAAGGATGGAGCCTTCCAACCCTGAGCATCAACTCAAACCAGATGATTTTGATGCTCCAGATAATGACAAAGTAAGAGGATGCAAACCAGCTTTTTCCAGAAGTGCACAGGAGCTACCTGTGACCCCGTCTCAGAACAGCCCTCCTGGGCTCAGGTGCTGTCACAGCCACAGGACAATGCTGATCTCACACTGACACTCCTCAACCACGAAAACAAGAACTTAAATGAGAGCACAGGGAGGGTTTTTTTAAGCTTAGGAGTCAGCCAGCCCCTTGGGTGCAGAGGTGAGCAATGAAAACACGGACAGAGCACAGATACTTACGGCTCTTGGCTTTTTGTTTAACTTGAGATCAATCCTGTGGTTGGAGAGACAAGAGAAATGTCCATGTCAATGCCTGACCCGACACCAGAGCTACTGCACAGGGCACAGCTACGACAGAGACTACGGTTAATCCATCCATTCCCAACTGGCTGAGCCAGGGTGCTGTCCCAGGATTACTGGGAATGAGAGCAGCAGGAGAGTGGAGCCGTTATTATTTGCCAAAAAGCAGATTCCATCCACTCCCAGACAGAGTTAATCAAGGGGCACAATCAATCACAGGGCAGTTAGGCAGGTGAACAGGAGGAACTACGCATGCTCTATGTTAATTTAATCTGTCAGGGGTTTAACTATGCCTCAGGTAACTATCCAGACATAGTGTGAGGGTTATTTACTTGGATAGTGAGAGGAGTTAGGATGACAGGGATTATATGAGCCACAGGTGCTGAGCTTAGTACATTTCTCCAGAAGGAAATATCGAAGTCTATACTAATCTCCTTAAGCAGCAAAGCCAGAAGAATCAGATTTTAAACTAAGTTTTAAAGTTAAAAAGTTTTATCTATTTAAATATGAAACAGAAAGGTAAAGAAGAGTGAAGTTAATGTAATTTTTGCTGAAGTTATTAAATAAAATGTTACCTCCATCACGCTTTTCTGTTTTTAAAAAAAACTTCCCAGCCTAACCTAATATACATACCTACAATTAAACAGATAAACTAGGGGTTAGCGAGGTCTCAAAAGGCACATTGGTGTCTACACACTAACAACACAGCACAAGAACTAATTCAAGTCAAACTTACTCAAAGTCATAATCAAACATGCCAGACGGGCTGAGGGGCAGCATTTGAAAGGAAGAAAGCAATAGAAATTAATATACTAATGAATTAAATCAATTAGTTGATTAGCCACCCTAGCGAGATTGCTAAAAAATAAAATAAATAATACAGCCAGAGTTCAAACAACGCCATCACGTTCTTCAGGTATCTTAACCAGGATTGGGCACAAAAAGCACTCGGGAATGGCAATCCAGGGTCCCCCTCCCCACCAGATTTCTGGGAACACGAGGTTTGCACAGAGGTGGGGTTGGTTTACAGAGGGGATTTTTGTGAGCTGAGAGGGGCAGCTGCCAGACCCTGAGACTGCAGAGCTCAGGGGGGAGAGAGGAACCCCTGGAAACCCAAAGAGGGGGGATCGGGGAGCAGGGGTGGGCTGAGCTTGCCAGGGCAAGGCAAGGGTGGTTCAGGCAGAGGCGACAGAACTCGGTGCCCAGCTCAGCACTGGGCTGTTCCTCCCCACACCCCCCGCCCAGCACTGCCCTCCCAGCTGATGAGAGACCAGAGTTATTTGGCCAGAGCTGATTAGTTTGGTGACAGTCCCACCCCTTCACACAGGTGCCACAGCACAGCCTTCAGACTCAGCTCTGCCCACAGCTGACACTGGCTGGGAAGGGTTGACCCTGGAATCCCATTTCAGCCCTGCTTTGCTAAGACAGAACAGCTCCACATTCCCTCAGATACTTGTTCATGAAAATTGCTAAGCACACAGAAAATCCCCACCCTGGCCTTGCTGTGGTGTGGAGGGAGCAGAGGGTGACAGCACAGGCTCTGTAACCTCCACCCTGTGTGCACCTGAAGCTGTGTCCCGTTCACCCCGTGCTGCCCAGTCTGACCCAGTTCCCCACCAGGAACCCCAGTGAGGCCGTGCTCCCTCCTGTTCCCAGCACCTCCCGGCTCCCCAGGAATGGGGGAGTGGAACCAG